AATTGTATATTAATTTGGTTAAAATGTAAAAATGATATAACATAAAGTTGATTAGTTTCAATTGTGATTGGGAAAAATTAATCATATAAACTTTGTATTGATTACAACAACTGAATTAACTGATTGTAATGTTAACAATGGCGGAGAAAAAAAAATCAAACAGTTAACTTAATAATATTAATTGTTAAATGAGTCTAAATTTAGGATTAATTGTTGAATTTGAATTTATTAGCAATTTATTATCAATATGATACAAATTGTTCATTTGAAATTGTTTGACAACAACAAAATGGTAACAATTTATTTGAACAATTAAAAGGCAATAAAGCTCAATAATATTTATTAATGGTTACAGGTAATTGTTGGATAATCTAATTGTGATGATAATTTAATCACAATTACAATGAGAAAAGGGAAACAACTTTTGTATTGGACATAACAAATTACCATTGACAAATTTAATGTGACAAATTTTAAACACATTGACATTGGAAACAAAGTTAATTGTGACAATTGTGATGGTGGGTAGTGGGTGGTGGGGACGAGGAGGGTTAATCATTGATGATGATGATGATGATGATCAGGGAAGGGAAATGATTAACATTCACGCCTTGAGTATCTTATGAATTGAAAATGATATTCAATTGTTGTATTTGATTGTGTTTGTAGTTTGATTATTATTCAAATTAAATTGAATGTATGTATATACAAAACATGTAACAGTTTTACCGGCACCCATTTCATTTTTAAGTTGATTAATTGTAAATTATAATCATTATCATCAATTGGCACCCGCATCAGTGAATTGATTAGGATTTGAAGATGATCAAAATAAATTGTTATCCATATCCTTAATCTTCATCTACAGTTTAACGATTTAAACAAAACTCATCCATCTAAATTTGTGCCGCTTGGCGATTCATCCTCATCTTTATTTGCATAATTCATCCTCTCTTTTTACAACCAGCATCTCATCATGATGATGATGAAGATGAAGATGATGATGATTATACACCTTGATTATCATCAGTAGCCTCTGATAATTAGCATCTTTTATCATCTGTTTAAGTTTTGTTATTCATTATTGTTCCGGGTTGATTGTTTTGTCTTTAACTTTGTTTTCATCATTCAATTTGATTGTTGATTAAGTAAATTGTTTATCTCATCAATGAATTTATTATATCGTTGATTAAGTTGTAGTAACACAATCTAATTGTTTATTAGTTTTTCTCTTTTTTTTCTATCACTAATCATTCTTGATTATCAATTTCTCCAATCAAATTGTCTCTAACAATTAACAATAAGGGCGAGAGATTCATGTCAATTGGGATAAGAATCAATGATTAATCTGTAATTTCCTAATTAGATTGTTCATTTTCACACTAACGGACAATTTCCGGTTAATCTGAATTCATCTGGACAAAAGAAGAGCAGGAAAAAAAAGGAGGATACGGAAATGATGAAGTGATGGAAACAACAACAACAAGATAGCCTTTTAACCTTAGTAATAAACATTGACACACTTTCCCCTTGTTAACAAGGTCAAAGGATAATCTTGTTAGTATTAAAGTGATGGAAAAACAAAATTACATCTTTAACCATCTAAAAACAATCAATTGGTGATTAACAATTGATTTACCATCAGAATTAATTGTTTGTTTTTACACTGATTGGGGAAAAGTTAATTTTTGTATAAATGTTAATCAGACGCAAAGGAATAGGACAGAAAAGGATGAGGATGCTCAAATGAAAAAGATGAGGATGATGATCATTATCATTTATCTCATAGGGATAACATTTAACTTGCACTTTTGCCCTTGTACTTCGTGATCTCAATTTTTATATATTGTTTATCATCCTTATCCTCATCCTCATCCTTATCATCATCATTATCATATCAATTCAATTCACGTCCAAGTCTTGTAACAACAAGAGCAAATAACAATAATAGAGTAACAATTTAAATGAAGAAAATGGTTGATAGTAAATAGAAAAAAAAAATTTTCTCATTTCTCTTCATCTTCATCTTTCTACCAGATTTATATTAGAATCCAATGTTATCTTCATCTTCATCTTCATAATGTGATATATGCTCTAGGTCACTTTCAGAACAGTTAAATGATAATGATGACAAATATTCTTGACTCATTATCTTCACCTTTAAATGATAACTCGATTTTCATATTAATATAATTGCGAAGATCAAATTGTTTCATCATCATCATCATCTCTCTCTCTCTCTCTCTCTCTCTCTCAAATTCAAGCCTATAATAGATAATATTAGATTCATTGTTTTTCTGTCTTCCTTATCTTCCTTATCTTCCTCATCATCTTCTTTCTTATAATAATAAACTTTCCGGAAGTAAAATGGGATAACCGTTATAACAAAAAGTACTACAGAAAAATAATTTCATCTTGAGCTTCTTAAATCATCATTATGATAATAAGGTATGTACGGTAAAGTTTGGGAATAAAATTTTCAAGCTATTATGGTGACTTTAATTTTCAATTAAATTTCTTGAAATTATGTGAAATTATTAATCAACTTTTGAGCTTCAATTGGGTATCTTTTCACGAATATTGCATCAAATCAAAGCATCGAAAATTTGATTTTTCGAATGTATGTCGAAAATAAATTGTCATTTTTTTCAGAGGTAGCTCTGAACAAATAATCCAAACTTTAATCGAAGATTATTTATGGTCAAAATCGGTCAATTAATGGAATGCTGAGTGTTATTTCCATATTCAAAATTAATTACAAAAGAAAAATTTCATGTATTTTGACCGGAAACTGAGGAAGAAGTTTCAACCGGATATTTCGTCATTTTCAACCAAATGACGCAATATCTTGAGAAACAACAAAATTTCTAGAAAAAAAATTCTCAATATCTCAGCAAACTCTCATTCCTCATCGAATGAGATCGAAAAAATTTCGAAAATAACTCAAATCGCTAAAAAGTTAGTCCGCACTATTCCCAAACATTACCGCTCATACCTTATGAAGATACCCAATTGTTTATTACTTGATAAACAATAAATTAAGATGATGATGATGAGATTATCATCCTCTTCCCTATAGATAAACACAATAAGTTTCTCATTGAAAAAAAATAATCATTGTTGTTGTTTATTTTTATAGGATTAAATTCAATGATGATGATGACAAAAATCAAACTATTTCCAGGAAATGGTTTTCATCCTCATCCTTTTTTTTTCATTTGATTGTCTATTTGTAACCTTTGTTTATTATTTACACAATCGAGTTACAATTTATTATTGACTCAATTGCGTGATTACAATTGTTAGACAACAATTGATGATAAAAATGATGATGAAGATGAAGAGGAAAGAAAAATAGTTTTTAACAAATTGTAGTTAAAATTAACTCTCTTTTCGTATTGATAAATTATCATGAAAAGTGATCACAATTTGATTTGATTGTTTGGGATACAATTGTTGGAGAAAAGGCAATTTAATTGAATAGCAATGATAAGATAAATAATATCTATATTATTGATGATAAATGATGAGGATGCTGAGATGATTATATAGGGAAAATATTTATCATCATGATTGAAGATGAGAGGTGTAAATGTTTCAATTGTAATTTTGGATTTTCTTGTTTTCTTGATGTTTTCATTTTCGCATCAATTCAATTGGATTAACTTTGATTGAGATGATAATTAGAGTTAGTAATTAGGGGTCGTTGTTATTGGCGGTGGTGGTGGTGGTGGTGATGAGGATGATGATGATAATGATGACCGGAAGAGGATAATATATATTGATGAGGTTTTATCCGATTAATTGTTGGCAGGCTATTAAATTGCTTTTGCATCTTCATCAATTCGGATTAACATCTGATCATTAACAACTTAATTTTATCTTGTAAGTGTAAATGAATGATTAGGGATGAGGGTGGAGGAAGAAGGAGGTTGGAGGGTGGAAGATGATCAAGGTGATGAGGATGAGAAATAATCCTGATGGTGAGAGAGATGAAAATTTCTCTCTTTCTTTTTTTTTCATCTTCTTTTTACTTCAGAGGAAAAAGATGAAGATTTTACAAAGATTATCTTCCATTTATGGTGAAGGCAAAGATTTTATTTAAAAATGATACACAGAGATGGTGATGATGATGATGATGAGAGAGATGGATGAGTGATGATGAATGGTGAGTAAAATATAGTGAGTAAAAAAGGCGTGGTTCAGGTTGGATTTTTAATGATATAATTTATTAAATGATAGTTTTAGTTGGAATAGAATCGAATATGAAGAAAAAAAATTCTTTCAGATGATCGCCATGATTGTTGATTCATATTATCATTTGAATCTTGTAAACACTTTGATGTTGATGTTGATGAAGATAGAAGATGATAGATCAATCAAGGTAAAATTATCTTCATTTCATCAACACCCTCACTCCTCTCTCTCTCTCTCACTCACTATTTTTCTCCTTCATCTTCATTATCTTTATCATTTTCATCATAATGAGGGATGAAATTAAAAGCAGAACATAAAATCTCATCATTTTCATCTTGATTGTCATCATTTATATACATTGAAAGAGAGATTGGGGGAGGTGGAAGGAGGAAGATGAGATGATGATTTTGTTCCCAATCGCATCAATCATCATTCTCTATCATCATCATGTTTCCGGAGACTTGGCATCAGGCCCATTGGAAAACAAAAATCATCAACTGATAAGAATGAGAATTATTATTGAAAAGATATCGATAATATCACAAATGTCCAAATCTCGAAACATATGTAAAAGGTTTAGAAATTCAAGTTTTATCAAGTTCTAATCAAAGAAACAAAACCTCATTGACAGTTTCGAGGTGTAAACGCAATGATAATCATTGATGCAGATAAAAAGACATAACCAGAATGATTGGTAATCAAATGATTAGTGAAACATTATTCACCTTTTATTGTGATCGAAAAGTTTATCGAGTAATAAAATGAAAGGATAATTTGAACCTTTCGAACTTTGAATCTTCTAAATAACCATTTTATCCTTTTTTTTGTTGTTGTTGTTGGATTTTCAGGTTTGGTTTCAAAATCGACGAGCTAAATGGCGGAAAAAGGAGCACACCAAGAAGGGTCCAGGTCGACCAGCTCACAACGCTCACCCGCAGACCTGTTCGGGTGATCCAATACCTCCAGATGAAATTGTCAAGCGAGATCGAGACAAGCGGGAAAAGAAGATGAGAAAACAATTAGAGCGTCAAGCTAAACGATTACAACAATCTAAATTAAAGCCTGGTGTAAACACGGCCTCACTTACCGAAGGTATTATTCAATCACTTGTCGAGTTGCGGTCACTTAATAATCGTAAAGAACCACGAGATTTGGTGGGTGGGGAAATTTTCGGCCTACTAAATGATGTGCTCAATGTTGATGTTTGTGAAATCATGAGAAAACCACCAATGATTAGTAATCATCATCATCACCATCATTCTCATCATCATCACTCATCTCTTTCACCAAATTCATCCTCATCATCGGTTTCAATGTCACCCTCATCATCTTCATCAACCACACCTTCAGGTTCACTTTCAGCGACAACAATAACAACGATAACACCTTCATCATCTTCAATTTCATCCGCTTTCCACTCCAAACAACAATCAACACCAAATCCCACCAATGGTAAGATTAACTCAACCGGTGGATTAACTAATCCAACCAATAAAACTAAAAATTCTAATCAAAATCATCTTCTCTCAACTTCATCATCTTCTTCATCATCAGCATCCTCACGATCAAATGTTCAACTTATTGGTCTCGGAGGTAACGGTACTAGTGGCAGTGGTAATGGCGGTTCCAATGGCGGTGGAGGTTCAGGTTCCTTTTCACCTCTTGCAAATGCTCAATTTTCATCATTATTATCATCTCATCATGCTCACGCTGCTCATCATCTTCATCAATTACATCAAAATCTAACTGCCCACATAACCGCATCAACTGGACTTGGATTTCATCCTTCAACTGCATCAGCATTCAAATCAAAATTTAATTCCTTCTCAATTGAAAATCTGCTCTCTAATTGCAATAAACAGAATCAATTATCATCATCATCATCATCATCCACCACATCAACAGGTAATCATGTTAACAATTCATCTAAAGGTGATAATGAAATATCAATAACTCCAACAACAACACCAACCGTAGCATCTTCAGGATCTTCATCAACATTGGGTAATAATAACGGTAAACGTAATTCAAGTGGATTAACATCATCATCATCATCTCGTCATCATCTTTATCATAATAATAATAATAATAATAACCGTCATCATCATGGTCCGAGCTTGTTTAAATCATCATCATCATCGGTAAAATCATCAAGAAATCACCATCATCATCATCATTTACAATCACATCGAGCAATTTTATCTGATCATGAAGATGAGGATGATGATGATTCCTCTAATGATGTTAACTCTTTCATGTCCTCATCACCTCGACCTTCAAGCCCGGAAGTGGATGAACATGATATAGATGATAACACTGGACCCATTGACCTTGGACCCTCAAATCGAGGGTCATCTCGTCATCTACAGTCAACCAACAATCACAATAATAGTAATAATATTAATCACCATCATCATCAAAGTCCAATCATGTTAATCCAAATGAATACCAAAGATGAAGATACAGATGATAATTCAGATGATGATGGTGATGATGATGAGGGTGATAATCATCATCATCGACCACTGCCCCACCCAAACAATTGTAAAAATAGTATTAATAGTAATAAGGATGCAATGAGTGAAGATGATGATGAAATCGATACTCCTAAAAATATGATCATCATTGGAAACAATTCATCTAAAGATGATGAAGAAGATAAACCGGAAGAGAAGGATGAAAATTCTCAGATGAAAGATAAAATGGACATTAGAATAAATTCGAAAATTGGTTCATCTTCTCATCATCATTCAGGTGATAATAATGAAGATGATGAAGATGATCATGTTGATACTCTTGATTCAGATTCTAAAAAGTTGATAAACATTCAGCTAATTGATAGATCAGCTGATGATAATTTAATTAATCATCGAAAACAGAAAAGTAAAAAAATGAAAGATGAAAGAGCGAGTAAGAGTAAGAGATTTGAAGATGATAAGAGACATGATGATAATGATGATAAGGTGGGGGAAGAGGTTGATGATAGTAGTGATGAAATGAGAGGAATCATTGAAAATGATCAAAGTGATATTGAAGTTGATGGTAATTAAACTAATCATAATTTAATAGTAACAATTAAGCCCACCAATTGAATGATTAAAACCACAATCATCAACAATTAATATTTGTATTTATTTTTCATCTTCCTTATCATCATCATCCTCATCATCCTCATCATCATCTGCTCCTCTGTTTTATTTACAACAATCAACTAATTGCTGACTAATTATATATACAATCCAATAAATTAATTTAATCATTTGTTTTATGTAGATTTTATTTCCTCCTTTGTCCTTCATTAATTAACTGATTAAAAAGAAAACTTGAAAAACAAAAAGATAATCACAATTAACGATTCATCCTCTTATTATTACCAAAGAGAGTTGCAATCATCATCATCATCCTCATCATTTCCGTTTCCGTTTCCGATTTCTCCTTATCCTTGAAACTTTAATTACTATTATTATTATTATTATTGATATATAAATATATTAGTAGTATTGATATCATTGTAGATTAATAAATTTTTCTTAATATATAATTAAATTAACTTCACAATCAACCACAAAATTAAATTGTCCAAAACAATTAACTTGAATAATTGTCAATTCTGTCAACAACAACAACAACAAACCAATATAAATAATTGAATCTGTAAATAGCAATAACAATAAAAATCAATGATATTAATCAATTGAACTAATACAATTAAAAAGTGTGAAAACTTTAATTTAATTTTGGAATCACAATTAACTAAATCAAAGTTTTAATCATCACCATTTCTAGTAACCACAAGATGCAAGTATTGGGAAAAGTTTTCAAGTTAATTGTTGATAGTAAATAATCAATAATAGTAATAACAATTAACTAATAATCTAAAAGGTAGAAAAGTAAAAGTTAAATGATTAACTACAATTACAATTATACTATTAATAAGCCTTAATGATTGTTAATTGTTGGTGAGATGGGCGTTGTTATTGTTAAAGTTGGTTAATCAACTAATCAATGTTGATTGTCAATGTTGATTAAAGCTTTAACAGCAAACTTACCTTAACTGTGATTGGATAATTAATCTAATCATCTACTCCCAATGATCATAATTAATATTAATCAATGGCTTTAATTGTGACAACGGTTCAATTAAGCATCAACACCCACTTTTCCCACCTTTGGTCCAACATCCTAACGACCACCACAACCACAACCCCCACTGTCCAGCCAAAAACAATGACCAATAGTCAATACGATTAACCTGATAAAATAACTGAATCAATACCAACAATTTAATTAATGATCATTTCTCATGATTAAATGATGAAATTTTATACATATTATATTGTGGTTGTTACATTAACTTTAATCAATAGTTGGACCATTTGATTGTGTTGATTAAATGAATGAATTTACTACATTACAATTGGGAGTTGATTGTAACCATCTTGATTGGTAAATATAAATAATTTAAATCATCCTGTTAACTATTACAATCAAAAAAAACATAAACTAGTTGAACTTTCAAACAATTTAATTAGATTTTTGTTTTCTCGTTGCTTTATCATCAAAGGTTATCAATAATTTAATATTTTCTTGCTTAACTTTTCAACTCCCACTTCAATTATGACAAAGTTTGATTATATCAAATACAAAACCAGAATCCAATTGTTTGACATATTATATTATCATCCTCATCCTCATCAGCATCATCATGAAATGTCATCATGATAATAATATGTCACCATGACAGTTACTTTTGTTTTCAATGATATTGATGATATTTTTTTTCTTGGATTTCAAGGTAATCCCATGTTATTGTGACTTATTTCATATTATTATCAACTGAATAATCAGATGCTCAAATGTATTGATGATTATTCATACATATTGAATGCTCTCTTATTATTACTATCATCATGGTTTTGGTTTCTTTTGTGGGATCAATGATCAACATGAAAGGAGTAATCATATTTTTCTTTGCGATTCAGATTCATATTCATGGGAAATCAAATCAAATATCAAATTTAAATATTCTTATTGTGGTTTTCCAATGATAAACTTTCACAGTTTCTTTTTACTGTTGATCAGATCGATTTGATATTAATGATGAAACTTTTTTTTTCTCTCAAAAAAGAAGAAGAAAAAAAAATGACTTTATCATATTCGAACTTGCTTTTCTATGTTTATTTTGAAATATCGAAAATTGTGTTTCTATTACTTCCTAGTAGATATGGAAATTGATGAAATTCATCATGTTGATAATATAAGAAGATGATGAAGATGAAGAGAGAGAGAAAGAAAATCATTTCTATCAACTGAATATTACTAAACAATAACATGATTAGTTTTTCAGGGAATTTTCTTGTATGAATGATGATTTTCACTCTTCTTCTTTGAGAATATGATTCATGATAAATGAATCAAGATAATGAAATGAACATTATATTTACGGGCTCAGTTTTGTATCTTTCGGTTTGAGGTCAATTGTTGACCAACAGGATGATGATGATGATGATGATACATAAGAAAACAATTTAATCTTCAATCACAATCACGTTTTTTTCGTGTAGCTACTTAATCAATGATAATAGTTATGGTTAAGAGAATTATGAAAATTTTAATTGGATAATGATGATCATCATCATGTTGATGATTAACAATCAAGATGTACAATTGAAATTAAAGTTACAATTGAATTCATGATATGTTTGTATTTGTGTGTTATCATTACAATCAATGATAATCAATCCTTATTATCAAACAATTAGTTAGACAATTTAAGACACACACACTCACATATACAGTCAATAGACACGATTTATATAAATTGTTCAAGTTAATTGTTAACAGTTTAACACACACATACATAAGTAAACAAGATAATCAAGATGAACAATTTAAGTTACTGGTCAAGAAAATGATTAACTTTCAATAGGAAATCAATTCAATTGAAATGATAATAATAATTTTCATCTGATGAAATGATTATCTTGCTGTTTAGTTAACAATTAATAACAATAAAGTAATTGTAATGACAATTATCATCATGATATACTAATGGTCAAGATGATGATGATGATGATGATAATTTATGAGATCTAAATAAAAAGTAAATATTACAAAAAAAAATCATTTTCTGTTTCAATGGTAGACTGAATCTGACAACAATATTAATTCACATTAATTACGATTATCATTTCAATGTTAATTCAGTTGATTGTTTGATGATTAGCATAATTTTCACTTTTCACAATCATTTAAATGGGATTTACAAGGAGTCGTTAATGATAATTGTCATAATCAGTAAACTAATCATGATTATCATAATGATTAACCATTATTTTCTGATTGTAATACAGTAAATTGTATTCAAATGGTTAGTCTGGTTGTTTTGGTAATTTCAATTTCAATTGTGATTCAGTTGAAGTTAATAATTAAGGTAATAATTGTATTCCTTTTAATCATTAGTCAGTTAATTGTTTCACTTGATGTTTAATACATTTAAACAATCATGATAATTATTATTGACCATAATCACCAAGGTATGTGATTAGTTAACATGGAATTCATTAAATATCATTAATTCAGGAATATGAGGATTAATTTACATGGAAAACTGAATCATTACAATCTGATTGTCAAATCGATAACAATTAGTTTGGTTTAATCGAAATTGTCACTCGAAATTAGAATAATAGATAAACAAAACTTTTTTGTTTGAAAAGAAGTTTTTCTTTCGAGTCTCATGATAACCAGAATTTTCTCCTCGATATCTTGAGGCAATTCTTTGGAATTACAAGAATATCAGTTGCTAAAAAGAATAGAACTTTTCTCTCCCTCTTTCTCTTTTTCTCTCCATTTTTTTTTCTTTTTCAAATTCTTACATTGATATTCTAATGCTAATAATGATGATTGAAATTCTGATATTCATGAATTCCAAGATGAATGCTCACAGGGAAAAATTTTCTATCTCCATAGATTATGCTCATGGGAGAAATATGAAGATGATCATCATCTAAATTTCAATTGATATTCAGAAGATAATATAAGTATTTTCTTTCTCTTCTCTTCTCCCTCTACCTGTATTTCCATGTAAATTGAAAAATGTTGTTCGAAAATGGAGAAAAAAAAGTTCCAATTCTGTGAACTAACCAATTACCGAGCGATCGTTTTGTTTTACTATTATCATTTGATTACGAATTTTTGTTAACCAAATCAAATCAGTTTTCTATGATTAACATACAAGTTGCAACACTTATGTAGAAAACGTTTCAAGATAATTCCATTTACATGGTGATGATGATGATCATGTTTAGAAGATGAATTTCAAATGCTCAGAATTAACCTGAGAGAGAAAAAGTTCTGAGAGAAAGAAAAAAAAACAATTCGACAAATTGTAAAATCGATGGTAACAATTTCATCCATTCATTTTAGAAAGATATTATTTTATATTCACTTTTGATTCAATCTTTTTTCATCATCATGATGCTCATGGAAATATAAAATTCTACTCCCTGAGTAATCATGTTATCATTGAATAGAAAAAAAGTTCCAAGAAAATTAAATTCTTGAAACTTGTTTTCTCATCATGGAAAACAGATTAACATATTTACTGATAATCGTTATTTATGAATATCTTTAAATTCAATCGATCAAGTTAATTAATAGTCAACCAATTATGAATAATTAATTATCATTAGCATGATGAGGTTTCATTATCTGAGTAAATGTTTAACCAAAAAGAGTATTAATTAAAAGATTAACATGATATCCTCAATAATGAAAGTCTGTATAAGATTTTCAGGTTTAATGAAATAATAAAGTTCTGGTTTCAGAAGATTTTGTTTACTCTGAGCCAATAATGATGATCCAAAAGCTGCATCCTGTGATACTCAATCATCATTTTCTTCCTGTAACCATGACAATTACTATAATCATTGATTTAACAATTCTCAGAGTTAATTCCTGATGAAGATGGAGAATCAGAATTAAAATAATCAAAGTTAATGACAATGATTCGAGTAAATTTGTGAATTGAATTTGTCATAATAATAATCGTATCGTTAATGTATTCAAACGATAACTTGACCTTAACAAGAATGGTCATTCTATCATATGGACATTGACAGGATAAAATACTGACCATCAAACAAGAGGAACCAATGATACATATATAGTGAATATGTATTCATTCAATATAACTAATTATTCATAACCTTTTGATTTCTTTTTGATATTATCAATCAAATCTGTCAGGTGACAATAAATATTAATCCAACTATTAATAAATTGATTAGTTTTTATAAATAAATATCTCCAATTCAATTGAAATAAATCAACCGAAATTTTCATATCTAAATCGATTTTATTGTTACAGCCATTTCCGTCAGAAATCGAAATATTTCGAAAAAATCACAACGCGTACGCGGTTAGAATTGCAATATGACTAAACACTGTATCAAACTAAAGTGTTCTGTTTATTTTTCATCAAACAGATCGCAACACTTTTCAAATCAAAGGAAACGATAATTGGGAATCTCGTCTCTTTAATTATAATTCGATATGTAC